GCGCTCTGCACGTATGAATCGGGATATAGGATAGAAATAACGTTTCACTGCGCAACCAGTAACGACATTAGCGAGCGTTACGAGAGCAAAACGCACGAGTTAAACGATTCGGCGTGGAGGTGGGGATAAACACGATCACGAGAGGAATTGGAAAAACGTAGAAAAGGAATTGGAGAAAGATCGAAGTCACGAAGAAGTACAGATCGGGGGAGAAGATATACCCTGCGAGATGTATAAAATTTTCTTGCTTCGCGGGAGAAGAAGAAAGGAGAAGAAAAAAATTGGTTTGGGAGAAGAACAAGAAAACCGTGAGACTGAAGAGAAAGGGAGAGAGAAATAGAGCGAAGATAGAGGACATAGGAAGGAAGCGAAATGAATTTGTCTCGGGGAAAAAGAGAGGAGAATTCGAAAAGATGGACCGAATAGGGCGTGACAAAAAGGAAACGATGGGAGTTCTGAAACGTGGAATCTCCGTCGGAAGACGGGTTATTCGACACGGGAGAATGAACAATATAAGTTCGGGGACTGTGAAATGAAATTTTGGAACGAATGGAATATTATTGATACGCGTCCGTTTGTAAAACCGTGTGGAATCGAAGGGAAAATTGGTAACGTTCTTATTTTACGAATGTTCCCTCGATATACTATGCGTTATCTAATTCCTGTGGCAGGGTCCCTACCTCAGACGTAGAGAAATGAGTTAGAATAAGAAATCTGAATAATCTTTGCCTTATCAGCTGTGAAATATGTCCCTGGAAAAGGGAAAATGAAAAATCTGACTAGCATATAACACGTGTCTGTTCTCAATTGATCTTCGACGCATCGTGGTTATCGGATCGATAGACTAAGACACCTATTGAATCTACAAAATTCGTAGAATCAATCACGGACATCGATAAGAGCATAGTTCGAACGTCAGACGTAAATTTGTCCATTTTTGACCGTCGGCTCTGTCATTTTTCTTTCTAAACACCGTTTCAAGGTCCTTATCCCGTCAAAGCAATCCGTTCAATCAAAGTTGGGAAACTCAACGTGTTCTTCTTTCTTCCAAAATGCAAACTGGTCCAGTTTCTTTGAGATTAAACGGACCGATAAACGAAACCGAATAAAGAAATCTCGATCGTTGATTCGAATTCGTGGGAGCAAGGCTGGAGTAACGGGAAGCAGGATATCGTTCGAATGAACGATAAATCTGTGATAAATCTGAAATGCTTCCTTTTTCTTTCACTCGCCAACGGTACATTCCACACTCGATATTTACCCGAAGAAATGGAAAAACAAGTGTCCACCTCGACCGCGCAACCGACAACCGCGTTAAAATATTCAGGAGCCAGTAGTATAAGCGTAAAACCATGGCGGCGAGCGGGCAAATATTTTAAACGAACAGAGCTGCGCAGCGCAAACTGCTTAAAAATGTATTGGAAAAGTTAGGAAGCTGTAAAAAAGGTGAAATCGCAAAGTGACAAGAAGGCGTGGAAGGAAAAACTTGGGAACTAGTAGTACAACCGCATAAATGCGGCGCCACGCCGGCGTACGACGCGACACGCGTTCCCTGCGTCTCTTAATAAGTCACCGGACGATTCTTCTCGTTTCAGAGAAATTTAATACGACATTCCCAGGAAGCATTCGGCCGGTATTCTCTATAAAATTCAAGCGGAACGAGCCGCTTAAGCGTAGTAGCGATAAAACGCTGCGCGCTGGGCGGTATGCGGCGCAACACATCAGGAATTCGCGGACAACGAATTCCTCGTGTAACCAAACGCGGGTTCGCATTGTTGCGCGGAAAAACGAACGGGCAACCATTGGATCCTCGACACCCGGCCTGACCGACCAAGCTTTCCAATTACATTACCGCGGAGGCCGCGCCACGAGCGGCCATCAAGCGGAAAAACGACAAAACCGGTTGGATAGGAAGCGAAAGAAAAGGGGGGAGTGGCGGAAGAGGTCGGCGGCTGCTTTTCCACGCCATGTGCTTTAAACGTGCCCGTATTCCCGCGAGTACCGAATAGAAAATTGAAGGAGTCCACGCCATCTTGGGGACACGATTCCGTAGCCGGTGTCGGTCGACGCGTTTGAAACAAATTGGCGAAAAGAAGGAAACGGGTTATTGCCTGCATCGGGGTGAACGCGTAAAAATGGCGAATGATATGGAGTGCGGCGTGCGACGGGGATAACGCGATTAACGGCGAGGCAAATATAAGGAGAGACGGTCGGAGAAACGGCGGCGGAATGAAGATCGAATGGAGAACGTTTAAGACGGAGGAGGGCGGAGTCGACGAGGTAGTTCGTTCTAATTAGGTGGTTCCAGAATTCGGTTGGTACGCGGGGAAACAGGAAATTGTTCCGACAGCGTTTCTACCTGCTGAAAAGCAGTTACAAATACTTGCACGCTGAACCTTTGACTAACTCCCTGCGCCTGCAACAAGCCACCGCCGTTGTCAAAGCTTTCCAAAAACATCTAATGCTCGCGTCTGTTCCCCGAGTTGCGTGGCGCTGGTTTAACTCGGGCTAGATAGCGTTAGATGTTCCGGAGGAGAAGGCGTATCAGAGGTTCTCTGCTGGATGCGTGCAGCTTTGCGAATGTCGTTTGAAAATTATTAGTCTACAGTTCAAAGCCGGGGAATTGGAAACCGGGGAGGATTCAAGGATTCGTCGCGGGGAATTACGCCGGGTCTGACCCGCGACTGCCATTGGTCTTCGTTACACGAGTCACCCGAGAAGCTGGGCGGCAGTTTTAAACGCGTGTCGAGAGCTGAGAATCGCTATTACAGTTGCCCAGCGTGCACGTAAGCACACAGCAGAGGCAAGAATGCACGTCAGAATGGCGTGACGCGTTAAAGGCGCTGTTTGGCGGTAAGAAGAGCGTGAATTTCAGCAACCGTCAGCTAAACGGGAGCTAACCTAACATCGGTATGGCAGTAACAGCGGAGAAGTTGAATGTAAATCATCCCGAAGCCTTGGACGCGGTCTATAATTCCAAGACAATAACGCCGGGCAGTTTCTTTGCCTAATAAGAAGCTGCTCATTGCGCCGTCTACCTAGGGCAGCTGTACATCCGTCACGTGCATTACGGAATGAGGAATTTCTCGAAGATTGAGATCGAGTACCTTCATTGCCGTGGATTACAGGTCTCGGAATTTCTCCGATATGTCTTCCCTTTGACGGATAAACGGAGACGCCTGCTTTAACTACATTGTGCTATGCTTCGATAAATTTCCAAGTAATTTCCACGGAATAAAGAAATTCCGCAGCAACGCCGGGGTCGGGGGAAAGGGGGAAAGGACGAAATTCAGACGCGCACGATAGAGAAGTAACAATGGCCGGGGAAAAAATTCGGCCATTCTCCATTCTTAACCGGGAGCATGAATATTCCGCGAAACCTAAGCTCGCTATTTATCTCGAATACTTCGCGAATTTCTGTACGCGCGGCTGCCGCGTATTTCTACTATTTGCCAGCTAAGAACCGTCCATTTTTAGTAACGCTAATGAAACCACAATGTAAAGGCTTCCAAGTCCAGCTATACCCTTGTACCGTACAAACGCGTTACCAGAGCGATGCAGCACATTCGCAACTCCTCGCGGAACAGGGAGCTTGGACTCTCACAAAGCCCTCAAAATAGGCGCGCCCTCGGGTACGGTGGGGGTTCGGAAAAGAAAACAGAATAGAGGTCCTGACGCTACACCGTGCCATGAATTCATTGAAATCAGAGCTCGCTATTATTCCATTCTCATGGAACTCGCAGACAACGGCGAGGCCATGAGATTACGCATTTCGATTTATGTCGGACATTTTTCTACCAGCACGGGTATATCCATCTTCGTTCCCCCGTTTTCGGAGCCTATTTCACCGGCACAGTTAATTACGCGATTTTACCATCCTGCTTCCCCCCCCAAGATCCGAGTAAGACTACGATCTTTTGATCCACCCGATTGGAAGTTCTCATGGCTGACTGTAGATCGCGTTTCCTAAGGACTTTAGGGCAACTTTAATCGTATCACGCGAGCCGTGGAACAATGAGAACGAGGAGGACGAGTAAAATATTCGAGAACGGTGTAAGCGATTGTGTAAGTTGCTTGATAATCGCCTTAGCAACTTCGAAACGGTAATTAATTCCCAAAGAACGGCGCAGTAACGAGTTTCTTACACAACGGGAGTCCGTTTTAATTATACATCATCGTCTGGAAGCACGACGGGCGCCTCGAGACCTCTAAGATTTCGTAGATCCATCGGAATACATTAAACCGAGACAATGCACAGCCTCTGTCGGGATATCGAGCGGACGAAATTGAAATCGGGTCTCTCAGCACGGGGAATCATCGCGACAAAGTCGCGCGATTATCGTTTATCGTGGAGACTCGTTCCCGAGTGACAAGCTTCTTAAAACTTTCACGACTTCCCCGAGCCGTTCGCTTATCTCTGCCACTTTTTCCCACCGATCCATCACGGTTCCGCAACACGAGTGTTCCCCGAGTCTGCGGCAGTTGCGCCAACTCCTCGGTTAATTCCCCGTTAAGTCACGAAATTTAATCCCGAGTAAACTGTTTCGAGCTGGCGAAGCCACGAAGCGGGAACGATCGTCGATAGTCGGCTCGGAACGGATACGTTTCGTCGAAGCTTAGAGGCCAGGCAGCCCATAACTGACCGCTATACTGGTTACCATTAATGAACACGTCCACGCTTTGGAAAACGCGACCCTTACTGGCATCCACCCACGAGTCCGCTCTGTTTGCCAAACGAATCCGTTTAATATCGCGTAGCCTGCCGGGATACACGGTAACCGAATTTCCGGCGGATTTCTGAAAAATTTCATACCCGAGGTTTCCACGGGGAAAGGGATCAACGCGGTCCCGACGTTCTTTCTCCGTTTTCGACGAAAAAGAAAAAAGGAAAAAAAAGTTCATCGAGGCTGGAATTAAAATTAAATTCTACTTACACGCCTGTGACGGACGCACGGTTTACGGGATGTATTTAGCCTTTGGAGAATTATTTTATTTAATACCTCGTAAACTGCTCCGAGGGGCATGACCAGGCAGGCGACCATGAGATCAGCGACGGCCAAACTGACGATTAAATAATTCGCCACTGACTGAAGGTTCCTCTCGAGCAGGATCGCCGCTATCACGAACAGGTTCCCTGGAACATAAAATTCCCGTGGTGCTTGAGGGTGGGTCGGCCATCGCGCAAAAAGGCATTACGCGCACGTTCGGGGAAAAACGGTTTAAGCTCGGCGAATAATCATCCCGGCGAAAGCCTGAAACGGCAGCTTTGCAACCGTTTCACAGTCCGTCACATCGACGCTGCTCGAACCGGTGAGGCTATCACGGTTGCTTATCCGCGCGATTATAACGCGACCTTTGAGGCAGCTCGCTGCAACTTTTAATCATAGATCCGGTTAGTCGCGCGAGGTCCTCGAGGATCGCGTAAATAATTCATAAGCTGATTACAGGGGATTTCGGAAAAGCGCGAAATTGCCATTACGCCAAAATTCCGCGGGAATTTCGCGATTAATAATTCCGGGATAAATTATCCTCGCGAATCACGGATCGTCCGAGCTGAGAATTTTCCCCGATACCGTACAGTCAACTTCACCGATCATCCTCGACCTTTGACTCCCACTCGCGCGTTCGCACGGCGATTACACTTCGGCTAATTATCCGCGGCAAGTGACAAAGGTATCGCAGGTAGCTTTCATTCGTCAGCGAGGACGTTCGTGTACGGCCGACTCGCTGCTGCTATCCCGTAATTAGTCTTTCGACGCTGACGTCGCGTCGCTTTGAAGGCTTAGCAAACGTTTTGACAATCGCGTAATCAGTTTATTCGTCCGCCAGGAAGGCTCCGAATCAGACAGACAGTCTTCCGCTTTACCGAACCTATTCCCAGCCTGTTCCGTTAAAGCGACGTTTCGAAAAATTAATTTACAACGCGACGCCACGCGTCGATTGCAGTGCGTCCACCAATTGACGTGTCCACCGAGCAACGAATAACGCCACGTTCATGCGCTACGAAACGCGAGATCGGAATACATTTTCACCGAAAATTCGCGAATTTACCGATCGTTTGCAAAACCCAGGGAATCGAGAGGGTCTCTAAAGAGATGCAAGTCGTTCCGCGAAGGAACCGGGAGGAATCCTAAGCGGCACGAGACTCGAATCGCTTACCGATCTCCCGATTCCTTTACCGTCGAATCGATACACGAGTATCGCATCGACACGGATGTTTCACGCGCGAGAATTCGTTCGCGTTTATAATTTATCACGTGGCGAAACCCGACTCTGGTCAAAGCCGATACCGGACGCATCGACCAGCACACGCTACCGCACAAGGTAAATTGGTTTCTACGCGGTTTAAACCAATGTTGAAATTAACGGTCGCCCGCGTTACAGGCGTCACGGTCTCGTTACACGGTTTTCTGCCCCATTTCCATCACTCGCTAATGGCGAGGCTCCCTCGCGCCGTCATTTTTATATGACCCCGGTGTCTCGACGCGACGCCCCGTTTAAATCCTGTTTACGATCGGGGATTCCCCGTTTCCCCCGATGGGGAAGCAATATAAAGCAAGCCCCGGATTATATCGCGCGGGAGAGATCGCGATCGGGAACACGTATACGCATATACGGACGTGTCTCGTTCGGCACTTGGGGAGAGACGAGCTCCGTCGTATAGTTTTTCCAACCCCTTGCTCTGGCCATCCTCTCATCCCTGGTTTTGCAAACTAAATCGCTCGAGTGTCCGGCAATCGCGTCGTCACGAGCGTTTTACTGCACTCTGAACCAGAGACTGAAGCGTTTAATATGAATAAATGAACGGTGCTTGCCCTGGTGCTTTCCGAATTAACCGACGCATTTCTCTTCGTTTGTTTATATACCCGCGAGAGTGGTATTAAAACTGTTCGCTCGAGGATATGATTCCGGAGCAAACCGGAATCTCGGTTGAACTGGAATTACGAGTCACGTTTCTCTCTTCCCGATATTGTAATATATCGAGCGTAATCTCGATGACGAGGTCGACGAAAGATCACGAAGATCGTGGGAGGGCTGCAAGCTCGAAGACAAATTCGCTTAGCCGCGGAAAAGCGTGGGTCGGAGATCGTTGGACATCGTGGGACTGCGCTCAGAGTCACCTGAGATTCTCAAGCTCGATAGGGAAATTTCCTAAAGCTCGGTGTCTAATTGTAAACGATGCTTCTAAAACATTCCGAAGCTTTCGAGGAACGATCGATGAAATCAACGTTTCGAGCTCGACATTATAGCGATAAAAGGATTGTTCCGCGGTGCATATGGAGTATCCCGCCTTGGCATCGCTAAATAAGCCGTGAGGTCGGTATTTCCAAGGTTCATAACACGATCGGAAAGACAAACTATTTTCGAGTTGGGCTCTCGGTATATTGTGGGGCAATGAAACTAATATTCTTCAAATCTTCATCTCGTCTACGCTCAATAGCCAAAGGACGTGTTATAAACCTCGGTAATTCTGAAGGGTCATCCCGAAGTCCAGCTAAGGGTAACAAACTACCGACGTATCAGACCTGGACGAACACCGTAACACTTGGGAAAAACCCATGACCTCACGCCTGCTCAAGTGTCATCCCACCCCTGCAGGAGAAGGCGCGCCAAGGGCGCATGGAAGGGGTGAGCACGACACTTGGGATGCCGTTGATTGGGAAATTAACATTTTTCTAAACAACCAATCAGCGCGCATCCTCGACATGCCAAGGAGAGGAACTGACTAACGCAAAAGAGTCAGTGAGTCAAACCACAACTTTCAAACAGTCAACTTCCAACTTTCAAACAGTAACACTTTCTACTTCATCGCGTCTCCGGGAAAGGGGGTAAGGAAGAAACAGATTAACATTCGGGCTACCAAACAACGAGAACAGCTCTAGACCGTAAAACGTCTAGAGCACACCACGCGTTCATCAGAAGGAAATAGCTTCGACACAATTCGCATTTGCAGATTAAGAACGACTTCGCTGTCTCGGGATTTTGAAATTTCACTTTCGTCAATTGCGAAGATTAGCAATGGCGAATTCATTCCTCGCGTCATCTATCCTCGACATCGTCGAGTTATTGATAGATAATCCTGCAAATGCCTCGGGATACGCCTTCCATCTTTCATCCTCTAACCTCTTCGAGCTTCCTCGCAACTACGTCCTCCGGAACGGCTTCTTTTATTCAACGACGTTATACAACTTGTTCGTTAGTAGCATTGAACCGCGGTCGTTAATCGAGGCACGACATTTTATTATAAACGAATAACCGACAGAGTTCCAGGCAGGAATACAAAATGCGTGTCGCGAAAGCACAACGTGCATGCACGCGTACGCTTAAGCTGGATGTTTCTGCTTCTGCTTTCAAGGCGAACTGCACGGACGCAGATGGAATACGTAACGCGCGGCACCATTCGTGGTCGAAGGTCCTTCCTCTTAAATAATTCGATTTCTCTGCAGCGGGATACGCTTCCATTCCACGCGGATGTTCGTCGGAAATCATTTTTTCCATCAGTTACACATCGCGCATCGTCGCGATTCGCGGCTATTCTCGCGGAACGCGCATAGGCCCCGCAAGTCTGCTGTTCCCTCGCCGTTTTATCACGATCCGGTGAATAAAATTCCGCGCGTGTCAGCGCGAAAGGAAAACTCCGCCATCTCCGCAGATGGCGATCGTAAAACTGCGAAGAAACGGTGGAGAAATCGCGCAATTCGCATGATCGTTGATGCGAGGATGAAACTGCAACGAGAACCAGCCGTAGGAGATGCTCGTTCGGTGAAAACTCGACGAGTATCCTCCGCTATCGAATAATCAAATACAAAGCTATCCGAAGCGGGATAAAGTAGGATAAATATTACCCGATACGCCACAAAGCAAAATCAAATAACTGTTAATTATCACGGGAATAATTATTTCGCCTATGATATGAACTACAGCCAGCGCAGGCTGTTTATTGAACGATAACGCGCAGCTTATGGGTTTTGCCTAACTCGACTGAATGTACATACCTGCAGATTACCAATTTAACGAGCAATTAAACGGATATAAAGATTGGAGCAACGATGGCGGCGAAATAAAACGAAAATGGATTTTCCTAATCGGGAGAGCTTATAAACGTACGCTGACGTTTCGTTACGTAGCTTGACAGTTGTTTGCACGTCAACGCGATATTTCCAAGCTTGCGCCGTTAAGTTGCCACCATTCGGTTAACGTAAGCTGTCCCAACCCAAGACCTGTCTAGTTCACACAGGGAGACACCTACTGTACAAATATATTCTTACTCGTACCAACTGCAACGATCAACTCCGATGTTGCCTTACGAGCCATCGAATAAGCGAAGCAACGGCAGAATTGGTACAAACGGCGCGTAAGGCAACACGAAATAACACCGATCCCGTTTTTCTCGAGATTTTCCATAAACAACGAATACGTTTGCGACTCGATGAAAACGGGAACGCGATGATAAAATGCAAAGAGAATAAACGCATGTACCGCAACGATGCGTGCCACTCGCGTGCAAGCGGAAATTGTCGCGCCGTTACACCGGGTGTTCTGCTCGTCGTCAAGCGTCCGTAAAATTACTCTAATTTCGACACAGACGCGGATACTCGCGCGATATTCAACGGACCGTTAGTTAGCCAGTGAACTGTACTAATAACAGAATTTACAGCCAGACAACTCCGCGAAAGGGGAGAAAGCCAGTCTACGTATGAATATGTATACCGACCAACGCTGACAGCGTCCCCCTTCGTCACGTCGTCGGTCCTGCCTAATCGAGGCACTTTTCTGACCAAGTTTAATCGCATTTGACGTTTCTGACACGCCGGACGAGCTTTGCGAATTAGCCCGGATGGAAACTTCGCGCAACTCCAGCGTCGCGGCCCGATTCAATCGACGCATTAGCAATGCAAGCGCTACCGCCGCCGATTGTAAATAACGAAACTTGCCGAGTAAGTTTTGCAACGCGAACGAGCTTTAAGTTCATTCTGATAACTCGATCAACCCGCTGAAATTCGAATAAATTGTTGCCACTGCTGGGTAACGCGGTCTGCGAACATCGGTCGCTACTGTTTAACCAGGGATTACTCACGTTGGGATCTAGCGCCGGTGAAATTTCCTTTCTTCTATTTCCAGCAGGTGGAATGCTCGCGGAAGCTCGCCGAGGAAGAGATAAATTCGAAATAATTAATAACAACTCGCGATACGTAAAGATTTATTATTTACGCGAGTAATCTCGGGTTAAATTTCCCGCATTTGCGAAGGGAGAAATATAAAATGGAAATCGAAACGTTCGACTGTCGGAACTTTCAGCGTCGAAGAAATATTTCATCGAACGAATACGCGGGTGATTCTTCGTTAAACGGCTCGAATGGTTGAAATATTAAACGCACGGCAGTCCGCGCGATTTTTCGTGCCAGAGTCGAAGAGGTCCTGCTTCACGAATCAGCGATACATTTACCAAAATGAATATCCAGGACGAAGAGGAACGGTGTGCGTTCGAGCGTTTGGCGTGACTGCCAACCGGAAGCTTACTGTCGTATTTATTTCCGGTCCCGAGCACGTTCACTGGCGCGTTCCTACTTTCCTGCCGAACGGGATAGTCAGGTCGGAGTAGCTGGATCCTCGCTGTTCTCCCCGACGATCCTCAAACAGTCTCCCCAAGTAGAATAAACGTACCGGAAAAAGGTCTTCTCGAATCCTGCCGAATACTTACGCGAGTACGTCGCATACTTGCGAGACAGGGCTCATTGATCCCACAGAGCTTTAAAGAATTTCCAGTTCGCCGATGGCCCAGTCGTCCTAATTAAACTACCCCGCCGTTGCGTCCAAGCAGCGACTCATATTTCCGAGAAACTTTCCCGACCTTTTCTTCCCGATAGTTCCCATCCCCTGGGCTTTCGTTGCATCCTGGACGATCCTCTTTCGTATCGTCCACTGTTCGCCTCGTTCGTTATCGTTATCGTTCACAGCGAGTTGAATTGCTACGATGTATGGCAGCACCGGCAAACGTGGTCCAAAAATTTCTCCTCGATGGCGGAAATTGACGAGAAGTGGAGATCTGTTCGGCTGACAGCGAAATTTAGCGCTGACAACGGGATGAGAAATGATAGAGGCCGTTCTGGATCGGTAATCCGTGTCTGAGGCGCGATAGCGTCGTTGCACGGGAAAAATAAAAATTTGTAAATTTATAACATTTGTAAATATTCGAAATTTTACGATGGAACTGATATTTAGAGCCAATAATTTAACTCGGTGTTACGAAATGACGGTAATTTTTGAGAGTGGCACATACACACCCATAACACACCCTTATGAGGAATTCCAAGTGCAAAGGACTACTCAGAGAAGCGATTAGATTTCGATCTTGATTTTCTCCTTGGTAATTGGCACTTCTCGCCAGAATTTCGAGTCGAGGGAAAGGTTTTAATTGGTCGTTGACTTGTACGCGTTCGAAAAAATAAATAAAATAGTTCCCGCTATTTCAAAAATGTAATTTCTTTGCAATTTCCCCGCCGAATCTGTTTCCAACATGGAACTACAACGAAACTTTAATCCCAACGTATCGTTCTTTGAAACTACGGACGTATTTAAAAAAAAATATTTGCAATTTCGGCTTCGATTTCCATTGCGCCACTCTCTATTCATCGTTGAGGCTCGATTGAAAAACTTCAATGCGGTGAAAAGTTTAAAAAAAAAAAAAAAAAAAAAAAAACAGAGATAGGAAAAAGATTCAACAACTTCCAATTGCATAGAAAATAACTACGGTATTTTAAAAAGAATTAAAAAATCGTGAAAGTACATATCCGAAACAAACTACGAACAAAGAGGTACAAGATAGAAACGAGGATACAACGAACGAAAAGTAATCGACAGTGTGATTTGGGAAACCCTATTAAGTAGTTAAAAAAATAATTTAGGAACCCGAAAGTACCAATAACGAAGTGAAGAAATACATGCGAAAAGGTACAAAAGAAGATAAAAACGTCCGCAAAATGCAAATGCTTTGAAATGCAGAGGAGGCTGAAAAATATGAGGGTTGGAAATATCATAGACAAAAGAACTCGGTGACAACAGTAGCAACGTGTGACCGAGTGAGAGTGTCGCACAAATGTTTAATACATACGATAATCACGGAATGAAATGAAAATGTTGCGGGTATCGTAAATCATCGAGATACCGAACGGACTTCAATCCTCTAGCGTTGAATGATAATACGCGAAGGGATAGCAAGCCGGTATGGGAGGGCATAAAGGTTTACGATCCTTTTCTATACAGCTTAAATAGGCCATTCAGCGTCCTGGACGACTAAACTACCTTCTTTCTACTCAGCCATCGCGGACGTATAGAGGAGACGCGGTCGATATAGACAGCTCCTCTCCTCGCTATCCCCGACGTGAAAAAGACATCCTGCCTTCTCAGGACGCCTTCCATATATATGTACGTATTAAAGGAAAATCGCGATTTCCTTCATATCGATCTCTGACTCGGCGAAATCGAATCGGTTGGTCGAAAGCGGGAAAATTCGACGATTTGGGAATCGAGGAAGCAGGACGTCCTTTTATTGACACGCGCGATAAGTGACGTTGTAATCCTCGGAACCGACCGTTAGCGCCGTTTCTTGCCATTATCCTGACCGAGAGAACGGCCCACATTTTTCGTCCGAAAGATTTCGCCACCCGAGGAATTCCGATAATCCCCTTCCGATCGAATTCGATCGATGAAAGTATAAAGATTCCTGCGAGATTGTCAAGACTGCTCGTCATTTACGCGATATAACGGATACCCTGCAAAGAAATCCGGCCGGTCATCGATCGCGTCCCCCACGTCCAATATTTGTCGTATAACAATTCGCTAATGACAAGGTGAATTCGCTAACGAAATGAATTAATTAGCAACTATTACACCAGTGGTCCGTGCATGCGATCGACGTCGCTGCTGGTTTCAGCATTCTCTGAAACGATCATCATCCTCGCGTCTGTTCCCGATGGTTATTATACGAAATTACCAATTACCGAACGAAACAACTGCTGTTTTATTTTTATAGTCCGTGGCAGGGAAAATTTCCGACATGCCTGACCGGAAACTGCGATCTCGCAAGTGCTAGCAGTGCCGGTCCAGTAATTGGCTTTTCAAGGTATCGACCGTGACGTCCAAGTTGGAAGCTTGGTGACGGCTTAGGCCACGAATTGGGAAAAACTCGTTAGAATCAAAGGCCGTGGAAAATTTGCAGGGGCGGAAGCTTCGAGGGTCTGAAGGCTGACAGGACAGATGGCGCGGAACATCGACCATTGGCTTGAATTTTGGCCAATTCCGTCGTGCCTCGAATTACCTTCGTTCCCCCCTAAACCCGTTTCCTCTTAATTTTTACTTTCCTCCGCACCTCGTCCCAGCGAGGGGATTTTCCTTACTTTCCTCGCTGAAAATCGCGTCTCGATTCGCACGTGCATAATCCAGAGGTTATCGGAAGATCGCTGGTACGAGCGAAAAATGTAATCAGCGACCCTTTCAGCGTGACCCGCGTTTCGTTAGCCATTCTCGAGACTTCAACGACAGGCTGCTTTCCCTTTCGTGGATCCTATTTGCCTTCGAAGCAGTCGGAATTAAGTAATCCGCGTAACACGTGCGGCCTGTCAAGCACATTGTTCCTGTGTCATAAACGAGAGACGTTATCTAAAAAGCTGAACTGGTTAACGAGGAGTTACTTACACGAATCCGGAAGTAGAAAAATATATGGAAGACCGAGAATAATTTATGGAACTAGATTTAAGTTGAGAGCGCGAGTCTGCTCCGGAAAGCCAAAGGGATGAACGGTCTGGTGCCATGAACAGAGAGACACAGCGAGAGATAGCCAAGAGACCGAGACCCAGACCCTACTCAAAGAGTACGAGATCGTGATTAATAACACAAACGTCTGGAACTTAAACTCCACGCGTAATCCACGTAATCGATCTATTCACCCCTGGATGGAGCAACCACGAAGCTCGATCCCTTCGCCAACGTCGAAAATGCCCGGTGAAGCAATAAAGAGAAATAATAGGTCTGCATCGGGTGCTTTTTTCGGGAACATTAAACACGCGTCCGCGATCCAAGGGAGACCTCATGAAATTCTAATCGAACCATTAACTCGGGCTGCCTGATAACACTCCTAACTCATTTCGTCGCCAGTGCGGATATTCCACGGCGCGCCATTTTCCAAATCCTTCTCCCGATTCTGTCCACGTAAACGCGTGCGTGGAGGCGTCACGCGGTTACCCTCGTCATTCCCGATAATACATTACGCGCCGCGGAAACGTGTCAGCCTTAGATTAATCTCCCATTGTGCCTGTGTGTCGCTGCGTTTACGCCATCCGTGAAACTACACGGCGACAACCGGCACCGTTACATCGGCCAACACACAGAGGCAGAGGTTGCGCGTGCAGGCTGCTGGTATAATAACCGGAAGGAGAACGATTAATTGATTAGACACCGGTATCCAGAGCGATTGCAGGTTGCCACTGAATCGGCCTGCACGCGTCACTCCGCTTCGCGAAACGAAACGCCGATTCAGTATGCCGATTTCCAGCAGATATCGGAAAGCCTCGATATCGAACGCGTTCAGGCGTCCCCGTTTCGACGACTTAAATCAATCGAAACGCTAACTCGGAGAGCTTTATCTCCCACGAGGCTACATCCGAGAGCAATTACTGTTCCTCGAGTCTGGTAACGCTCGCACCTCGGTGAAACGTCAAGATTCTGGCGATTGATATAAACGGGAACGTCAGTAAGACAAATCTCGTCGAATAACCCCAACTCTCGTTTTAAATGCTTCGTTACACACGCCCAAACGCATGGGCGCACTAGCGCCACCTTGGACCCACGTTTTACGTTCGGTAACTTTTATTTTCCCGGCGAAAGTTCGCCCATAAGCGGGGCCACGAAACAAATAAAACTTTCCCCGACAACCTATCGAATTCCTTCGGCAAAGTGTCGAATCGTGAGCGATCCAAGATGGAAGTAGGACTCACCAACGACGGTGACGAGTATCAGGAGACCGAGCACCAGAGCCGTAAGGATGGTCGAGGGATCTGTGAACCCCGACCCGTCCGTGGACGAGTTTCCAGCCTGGTTCAGGTGTTCCTCCATGACGCGCGAGATATGTCCTCTGTCCTGGCGGGCTCTTCAATGTCTGACGGTTATCATCTCCTTAAATAATGTACCATGATCCGCCGTCACGAGTAGATCGGTAGATACGAATCTTCCGTTCGCGGCACCTTCGCTGGCCGACTTCCTCGGGCCCGAGTTAATATCTGTTCGCGGAGATTTTGACGCAAGTGTCGTCGGCCGACATCGTCGCTCGTCTTCCGCGACTTTCGCCCTGATCCATTTCGCGGTCGACCACGCCACCCTCCTCAGCTCGGATCCGTCTCCTGGAACTGGAGCACGACGGGGCTGCAACAGAAAAATAGAGGAAATGTAATCGACCCAAGACTCGTTCCATGTTCCCATCCAACGGATCGAATGGAAATCACGGGGACCTCTTTGACACGGACCAGGAGAGATCCTATTTTTACCGAGTTAACCGCGTTAGTCCTGGAAAGGGGGTCTCTCTCTTTTGGGAAAAGTATCGAAGGAAATGAACGAGAAGTATCACCTTCACGGTGGCTCGCGTAACACGTGCGGCCTGTCAAGCACATTGTTCCTGTGTCATAAACGAGAGACGTTATCTAAAAAGCTGAACTGGTTAACGAGGAGTTACTTACACGAATCCGGAAGTAGAAAAATATATGGAAGACCGAGAATAATTTATGGAACTAGATTTAAGTTGAGAGCGCGAGTCTGCTCCGGAAAGCCAAAGGGATGAACGGTCTGGTGCCATGAACAGAGAGACACAGCGAGAGATAGCCAAGAGACCGAGACCCAGACCCTACTCAAAGAGTACGAGATCGTGATTAATAACACAAACGTCTGGAACTTAAACTCCACGCGTAATCCACGTAATCGATCTATTCACCCCTGGATGGAGCAACCACGAAGCTCGATCCCTTCGCCAACGTCGAAAATGCCCGGTGAAGCAATAAAGAGAAATAATAGGTCTGCATCGGGTGCTTTTTTCGGGAACATTAAACACGCGTCCGCGATCCAAGGGAGACCTCATGAAATTCTAATCGAACCATTAACTCGGGCTGCCTGATAACACTCCTAACTCATTTCGTCGCCAGTGCGGATATTCCACGGCGCGCCATTTTCCAAATCCTTCTCCCGATTCTGTCCACGTAAACGCGTGCGTGGAGGCGTCACGCGGTTACCCTCGTCATTCCCGATAATACATTACGCGCCGCGGAAACGTGTCAGCCTTAGATTAATCTCCCATTGTGCCTGTGTGTCGCTGCGTTTACGCCATCCGTGAAACTACACGGCGACAACCGGCACCGTTACATCGGCCAACACACAGAGGCAGAGGTTGCGCGTGCAGGCTGCTGGTATAATAACCGGAAGGAGAACGATTAATTGATTAGACACCGGTATCCAGAGCGATTGCAGGTTGCCACTGAATCGGCCTGCACGCGTCACTCCGCTTCGCGAAACGAAACGCCGATTCAGTATGCCGATTTCCAGCAGATATCGGAAAGCCTCGATATCGAACGCGTTCAGGCGTCCCCGTTTCGACGACTTAAATCAATCGAAACGCTAACTCGGAGAGCTTTATCTCCCACGAGGCTACATCCGAGAGCAATTACTGTTCCTCGAGTCTGGTAACGCTCGCACCTCGGTGAAACGTCAAGATTCTGGCGATTGATATAAACGGGAACGTCAGTAAGACAAATCTCGTCGAATAACCCCAACTCTCGTTTTAAATGCTTCGTTACACACGCCCAAACGCATGGGCGCACTAGCGCCACCTTGGACCCACGTTTTACGTTCGGTAACTTTTATTTTCCCGGCGAAAGTTCGCCCATAAGCGGGGCCACGAAACAAATAAAACTTTCCCCGACAACCTATCGAATTCCTTCGGCAAAGTGTCGAATCGTGAGCGATCCAAGATGGAAGTAGGACTCACCAACGACGGTGACGAGTATCAGGAGACCGAGCACCAGAGCCGTAAGGATGGTCGAGGGATCTGTGAACCCCGACCCGTCCGTGGACGAGTTTCCAGCCTGGTTCAGGTGTTCCTCCATGACGCGCGAGATATGTCCTCTGTCCTGGCGGGCTCTTCAATGTCTGACGGTTATCATCTCCTTAAATAATGTACCATGATCCGCCGTCACGAGTAGATCGGTAGATACGAATCTTCCGTTCGCGGCACCTTCGCTGGCCGACTTCCTCGGGCCCGAGTTAATATCTGTTCGCGGAGATTTTGACGCAAGTGTCGTCGGCCGACATCGTCGCTCGTCTTCCGCGACTTTCGCCCTGATCCATTTCGCGGTCGACCACGCCACCCTCCTCAGCTCGGATCCGTCTCCTGGAACTGGAGCACGACGGGGCTGCAACAGAAAAATAGAGGAAATGTAATCGACCCAAGACTCGTTCCATGTTCCCATCCAACGGATCGAATGGAAATCACGGGGACCTCTTTGACACGGACCAGGAGAGATCCTATTTTTACCGAGTTAACCGCGTTAGTCCTGGAAAGGGGGTCTCTCTCTTTTGGAAAAAGTATCGAAGGAAATGAACGAGAAGTATCACCTTCACGGTGGTACGCAAAACCAACGAAATTGGAGTAATCGATCGACAATTATTGGAATTGAAACGCTGACTGCCGGTACAGACCGGGTTTGGCTATAAATACGGGGCAAAAGAGAACGAGGCAGAGGGAGAGAGGGTAGGAGAGAAAGAGAGAAAAAAAGAAAAAAAGGAACGAGAGGCAGAGAGGTGTGTCCAGGATGAACGAGCATCATAAAATTGCTTGCCGAGGTCACGTGCGCTATATTTAATTTTTCGATAGACACGTTTCATTAACTCGAGCTCGTGAACGATCTCCTGGCTCGCTGTCTAGATTCAATTGTCGCGCTGAATCGAATTGACGTTCCGTGAATTACCGTTTCATGGATTCCCGTCCGCGCGATGACACTTTTAAATACTTCATCAGATATCCATCGTCCATTTGGTAGTTCCGCACACGCGGAAAAATACCAACGTGCGTACCGTGGCGAATTAACCGTCGGTTAAAGTGACATCGATGGCACTGCGCAGCGCGGAACAAAACGATGGGCAGGATCGCATCGCGTCGAGAAATTTCCACTCCTTCGAGACCATTAAAAAGTTAAGGGTGTCGGAGAAGGAAGAAGCAGGAGCTAGAAGTACTCGTAAAGATGCGCCAGATAGGACAGCCACTTTCGCGGGTTATTAAATAAATTTTACAGGCGATTCGCATCGAGCAGCGTCGCCTGGCGCGTTACAAAAAAAATCTCCACTTTTACATTTCCATTTTATATTAACACTCGTCGATGCACCGTTTGCGATCGTCAACGCTCGTCCATCCGTTGCGCACAGCCCGCGCGAAAAATATGCACAGTGAATTCGCCAAATGCATAAATATCTAAAAATAAATGCCGAAAAATACAAACAATTTCCGAAATAGTAAAACCTACTGCAAGATTCTACATTTAGGGTACGATATCGATGATCGATTCCTTAGTGGACGACACGCGAAGGGAAAGCGATGCAGACGACCCCACACAATGATCGTAAAACGCGCGACTAATGCCGCAATCGTCCCGGGGGAACAATTTTAACGTTATTCGCAATTACCGCGGTGTTCCGGACCGCGTAATGACCGCGACGAAAAAGTAATTTCAATTAAAATTCGTTTCGAAGAAATTCATCAAACGACCGAAGCCCGTGCCCGTCGTTTCCCCGCATCAATTTCGCGGGAACAACGCCGAGAAGCTTTCTCCAACTTTCCCGACTCCGTCCCGTGCCATTAATGACCACGACTCTCTTTTAACGACCGACGACGTTTCAACGACCCTGACAGACCATGGATCATTTATACCAGCTCTTTCCGAGCGAACAGCGCCGGCCGGAGTCCTAGACCCCTAGACCCCTAGATCGCGTCATGCTCCTCTCGTTTTCCGTTCCACGCGTGTGTCTCGGAACACGCGCAAGTTTCCGTGAAACGGCACCTAACAATGGTACCCTCGGTTCCCTTCGCGAATCGAACCTCCTAGCTGGCGGTTGTTCCACGGGCGAGGCCTTAATTGCGCCATTGTTTCGACGATGTCGTTAATCGAATAAAGTAACAACCCGACCCTAGAAGCCATGTATTAATTAGTTTATTCCGCGAGCTATCGGCTCGAGAGTGTCTCAGATTCTAACGAGCCGAATCCGCTAACGGAAACGAACGATGCCGCGCGAACGATGATTCTTCTGGACAGGGAACGAAATTATGATGGGCGAAGCGTTCTTTCGCGCGACTTCGTTATCGAATCGTGGCAGACGATCGATCCTGAAACATTACCCGGTCGCTTTTATCAATTTCGTCGATCGTCCGTCCGAAAGTGGAACAACGGACGCATCGCCTGGCGATTAAAACGTCCATCTGGACCCAAAGCCATCTCGAAACACAGAGATGGATCGTCCGGTGCATCGAGGTGCAATTAGGATGGAATGGAAGCCGGCTATGGCGCCACAGACGGGTTATGACAATTTGAAAATTGCTCGCCTCTATGGAGCAGCAAAATTCGGCGGGATTAGAAATCGTTGCCGATTCGGGAGAGGGGTCGGAGCGTTTCTAAGCGGCTTCGAGTGGCCTTCGAAAGCCGACTAAGAGCTGAGCCATACGCCGTAATCCGCGGATCTCGTAAGCTTCTGTAAGCGGAAAGTCCTGCGAAGAGGAGGGAAGTTAGTTACACGGGGCTAATGGAAGCCAGCGGCGGCGGAGCTAAACAATATGGGCAGCGACACGCTAACAAAGTTGGCCAGGCCAAGAAACGTAATTAAGGCTGCAGAAGTTAAGTTAATTTGGAAATACCGAGTTACCCGAGCCGGCGGCTTCGGCCGGAGACTGGAGAGAACCACGGCTCAAACTAACAGGCTTGTCTGTAAATCAATTCGATGTCACGATGTGCCTGCTAGGCTACAGCCAAGTGTTTATGGCGCGTTAGAAGCGTCGAGCGAATCGAATAGCGGTTTCCGTGGATTAAGAAGCTGCGGTTGAAAGCAGGGCTCGAGGTGCTATTTCCTGGGCTGCCATTAAATCACCATTATTTCGCTGACTATATTGTCGGTGAAACATTGGCGGTGAGTTTAACGCAGCTCCTACATCTTACGAGGAGAGTGCAAATCCTTCGGGTCATTCATTTAGTTGAAATTTTTCAGGTTTGTAATTTTTGAGATATTAAAGCTTTATTATCCTTAACCAGAGATTTCTTCCGAATAGTTACGAATAATTATCAAGTGGCATTGTGGCCTAAC